CTCGTTTTCATAGCCTGCTCATGTCATGGCGATCAAAATGAACGCAACTTGTCCGAATTCCTTTGCCATTTGAGCTTTGTATCGTAGACTTAATACATTCCCAGACGTATTGCCTTTTTGACTAAGCTGTAGCTTGGTGCTAAAACTGGCAATATTGACTGACGATGGAGACTGAGATGTTGGCTAAACTTCAGAGAATGTATCAAGTCCCTAGTATGACACTGGAAATTATCGTGACTTCTATCTTAGAGAACTTTGGAAAACATGTGTTCCACTTTGTCACCCTGACAACACGACCAAGTTGTGAAAGCGAAGTTAACCATTTTATGGAAGTGGGTTGACCTCGTTGTTGCAACTTGGTCATGTTTTCAGGGAGGCAGAACGCACCTAGTTCCGAAGTCGTCTGCCATAGTAGTTGTCATGATTCCCAGCATCTGACAGTGGACTTGATACATTCTCAAACGGTTCGCCGGCATCGTAGTCGGCATCATCAGTGAGTGCTGCCATTCTCCGCACCAAGATACGAACTCGTCAAAGAGACAAGTAAAGTCAATCCCTCGACAATCCGGATCCTTTCCTTGTTTGGTAGATCCGTTCCTTATCTTTCTGAAAGAACGCTTGTCAAGGGATTGACTTCATTTGTCTTTTTGACGAGTTCGTGTCTTGGTGCGGAGAATGGCAAAACTCACTGATGATGCCGACTATGATGCCGGCGAAACGTTTGAGAAAGTACCAAGTCCGCTGCCTGATGCTGGGAATCATGAAAACTACTATGGCAGACGACTTCGGACTAGGTGCGTTATACACACACACACACATATATATATACAAAATGAAATTAGGAATGGCTGGCTTGCAATAAACATCTCTGTCCAACTTACCAACTGCCCTAGTAACCAAAACATTAAATTATAAGCCTAATACCACTTTCACGCTGGTCAAGGAAGTAGAAAACTATCGAAACCTCTCTCACTATATTGTCAGAGAACAAAATAGTTATCCATAAATCTAGCACACGCTTATGAGGTCACTATGAGCTTTTCCATTAGACGTTCATCATATTTCGTTATGTAGATCGTCTCATGGACAACGTTATCTGGAAGTCGTAGTAAGAGCCAAGCTAGTGCAGAAATCAATCTGGATGACTACTTTTCACTTTGCACATATGGCAAGAAATATTTTGATCGTTTCATCAATTTTTAAGCCAACTTGATGTAATAATTATATTAACAATGGAGGTGGCAGAGGATAAATGACTACGTTTACTGGCTGTTGATGTCATTCGCTCCAAAGGAATACTCAAGAGGAGACTATTCAGAAATAAATCACATGCGGCAATAATTCTCAATCTCTAGTCTCATCACAACTCCAGACTAATTGACACTAAGTTCTGGGGAGAAGAGTAGAGTAAAATGACACGGATTTGCCTTAGTAACAGGTAACCCAGAGAATTTATAGAAATAAATATAGGTGTCATGACGAGCAGATTTCTACACGGATTTGATGAACCAAAAGTTGATATGCCTGCCCTCCTTTGAAGTGAGCCAAAAATGGGAACGTTGCTAAGAAAATAGAATTTTAATGTGATAACAAAAGGAAAGACGACAATCATCGCCAGCCTACCGACGCAACTTGAGAAGGTTTACAAACTAGATTGCTCGGGGGTCTAAAGCATCAAATGCTTCAACTGTGAGCAGAAGTATATTGGTAAAACAGGAAGAACAATCAGCTTTACATCAAGGAATATCAAATAATGCAAAAATGTAGATACTGAAAGATCCGAAATTGCGGAACACATCGCAAGGACGGGACACGAAATCGAGTGTAAATCGACAGAAAGACTGGCTGAATATGGTGGAAATACAAGAAAACGTAAGTTAAGAGAAGCCATTGATATACCGACTGAAAGAAATCTGATAAACTTCACTTGTCTCTTACAAGTAAGATTGACTTGGTAAGTGTTGGGTACATGTGAAGAAATGTTGATATTAAAAAAAAATTTGAGTTATTAGCCCTATTCATCCCAGGTCGCATAAGGTAAAGAGGTAGACTGATAGACGAATATTTCCACATTGGTATGAATAAAGCTCACTTGGCCTTGCCTTTCAAAAGGCTATCTAATCTAGGCTGAAGTGAAATGTCAACTTCACCTGGCTCTGTTAAACAACACCAACGGGTATCAAACTTGAATGGAGGTAGAGCAGCATATAGTTTCGGCATTCCACTATTACGCCACCCTTCCACGAGTGCCAGAGGTGAGTTTCAAGTCGAGCTAGGCCTCGCCCATATCACAATTTATAGTGGGATCGTTGATGAAGTAATTTGTGTTTTTTATTAGAATCGACTGCACTACTTATAGTCTTATTAAGTAGGTTTCAAATTACTGGTAGATTTTGAATAAGAGCTTTATTCACTCAGGGTCGAATAAGGTAATGAAGAAGTGATACTTGAGTTTTCCTACAATGAGTAACCTCATAATATCATTGAATTTCCCTTAGCTACTCCTATTCAGGATGTACTTGTAATTTGGAAGCATACTCAATACAAATATATGCAAAGTAGTTGGCGTTAAAGCAAATACAAGTTTGCTTCATTCCACTATTAAATGTGATATGGGAAAGGCCTGGTTTGTCTTAAATTCGTCTATTCTCTGTAGCCAAGTTGCCCTTCTTGACTGTATGGTGCAGGAGTTTTATGTGGAAATTATATGCTGAACTATCGCCATCTGGATTTAATTCCCCTTGGGGTTGCTGGTGAGACTCAGGCGAGTTCGAAGCAGAGGTTGAGCCTAGACGAGAATATCTTTTGGGAGGCAAAGTTAAGTGAAATCCAATAGAATTGCAAAGTTTATTTGTTTTCCTGTGGAAGAATCCATCTATCCGTCCTTCATCACCATATACGACTAGGGTGAACAAAGTCCTTAGCCAGGGCCTAGTTTTCAACTTTTGATATTTATACAATACGAATACGCTTTTGATCTACAAGTGTTAAGCTCACTTTCATGTCGAATGCATATGTTCAATCTAATGACTTCCATGCCTCTGATTGTACTGAGTCGTTAGAAATTATCACCACTACCATCAGTAGATCATTTATATATGATGTGTATTCACCCTATTTCGTTTGAGGTTACCAAGGCTTGGTAGTTGAATTTTTCCACTCTGATATAAGTAGGCTTTACATTTAAATTAAGTTTCAAATAGCCTCGTTTTCCTTAATGAAAATACTTATTGGAAAACAAGGCTATGCAAAATTCGATGGAAGCTTAGGGTCTGCTTATGTGATTGACGATCTAGGCTGAAAACCTCTCGCATGTTGAAGAAACTGTTTTGTAACACGACTTTCCATTTCGAAGGAACAGTTGGCTGGAAGAAATGCTTGAAATGATCTCACCGGATTGAAGATTGCTGTATTGTGTCAAGCAGTCCTCGGCTTGCCGTCTTGAGACCTTGATGAACCTGTACTAAGCTCTCGTCTGTTCTGTGACAGATATCATCAGAACATGAATCCATACCTTATTAAATAGAGCAAAAATATAATATGCCGAGAGAAAAGGTAGCCGGCTGGGACCCTAATCACTTTTTGCAAACATA